CCCCCCCCAGTCCACTTTTACTCTTAGGCTGTGGCTGTTGCTAAGACCCCATTAAAGAAAGAGATAAGCTTCGGGGGAAAATGTTGTCTGGGAGCAGAAAGGGGTGGAAAGAGGTTTCTCTTTGTACAGGTAAGCTTAAACAATATATTCTTACATACCGAAAGCCAAAGCAGGTGGATGTTATGGAGATACTTTGATGTAGTTATTCAATCTCAGTAGCTATTTCCCAAATTATTTCTGTAAGTATACAACTGAAAGGTAGGTAGAAAAGATGAAATTTCATGAACTGTCTCTAGAATACTCATAGCAGCTACCTGCTTTTAACTATCCAGGATGGTGGGATCCTACAAGAAAGGAAAACCAAGGATTTTTTTAGACTTTTGCTTCAGGAGGGAAAACTACAACAAATTAGTGGCACAAGTTGTGGCAAATGGCTAACTGTATTCAACTATTTTTGTGGCATTTAACTTGAGCTAGACATTACTGATTCCTGCTTCATCACTGTGCGTGTCCTCCTATTCTTTGGTTCCCCTCTATTCCTATGGTCTCTTGTTTGTTTCATATAGTGGATGAGGTTAAATATTGAGAGTGAGAGTATTAAGTGTAATCATTTCTGATAGAACCAGGGTACATTTCATAGATCTTTGATAAAGCAGACCCTGTGCTTTCAGGGAAGGAAGCAACCTTCACTGATGCCTTGTAGTGAGTTAGTGAAATGGGTCATCAGACTAAAAACAGAATTAAGTGAGATTCTGCCTGGTTTAGGAGGCCCGAGAACTACTTGATGGGAAACAGAATATTTAGGGCAAATATCACATACGTGGCTTTGTTCTCCCTTTAGCTACTATCTGAGGTATGCAGTTCCATCCTTAGGACTTTCTGGATGCAAAAGCCTCTGGCTGGCAGGTAGTTGAAGCAATGATCCAGAAACAGTTAGCTAATCTAGGAGGTGGCACTTTATCTCCCAGCCTTTTCTTCCAGCCTTTTTTCACAGGTTATT